TTGAATATGTTTACAGTTATGTGAAAAATCTAAAATGTTGTAGTAGATATTCTCATTTCTTCTCAAAATGAGAATCATCTGAGATATACTTCAAAACTGACTTTCTTAATTATTTTTCAGCTTTTCAAACATTATTTCACACTCATTTCAGTAAGCTCTCCTATGCTTTATCGAACATCATATTGATAACAACTGATTTTTCAAAATTAGTGCTTTATACACATTGAATAAAATACCAACTTTACAGAGCCTGATGGCAAATAAACACTCAACAAATTTCCCCACAGTTAATGTCCACCTACCAGAACTCCACCCAATTTTTCCACCAATAGCATGTCATGCAAATTTTCCTTTAATGTTTTTCTAATCTTTGAACTATTTGGTCATTTAGAAATTTTCATATTTATGATAAGTAAATATAACTTCTGCGTAAGAAAAAAGCTCTAGATGAATATTTTAAGAGTCTTTCTGAAATAAAAAGTAAAAAGAAAGAAGAAAATAAAGGAAAAGGAAAACTATTTTTCTTTTTGAAAAATATTTATTTATTAATTTATTTGATACAGGGTCTCCCTACGCAGCTCAGATTCATAGCGACCCTCTTGTCTCAGCCTCTCCAGCTCTGAGTTTACAGGCGTGCACCACCACGCCCTGTTTCAATGGTTGGCTTGACACTAGGTCTGTGTAGCATGCGGTGTGGGGGATCACATCCAGGTCCTTGTGCTTGCCAGACTGGAGCTTAAGCCCCCATGTTATCTCCCTGGCCCCTAAACCTTCTATTTTCATATGACTTTTTATTTTTTTTCTGTGTTGGACATTGGTCTTCTAAACTCTTTATGGTCATTTGCATTGTTAGCCCTTAAAAATTTTGAAAGGTAAGTATTCACATTCTGCAATTTGGAGGTTAAGAAATGTGTCCAAAGATATAAACAACTTGTGTTTATGAGATTTACCATAAACTTTTAAATATTGGAGTTGGTAGCCATGTCTTCCACTTGACTATTTTGCCAAGTATTATGCTAATCAAAATTTGGCTTTGAAATGCGTTTTAATCTATAACAACAATTCTATCACCATAAAAGTAATCAGATGCAAAGGAAGTTTTAAATATTTTAAATAAAACATTTTATTTTCAATCTTCACCATTTTAGTGTCAATTGGAAGTCAAATGAAACAATTTGGTCAAAGTGTATTAATTCCAAAACCTCAAAGAATAGTAATAGAAGATTTATACTTTTGTCCACTCAAGACATGCTGAGACACAAATTTGCTAAGAAACAAGGTTTATTAATTCTGAACAAGCTTAAATTTAGATATCATACAAACTGAAGCAGATTTGAATGAGTTCTAAAATCATACTGATTCCAAAAACAATAAAAAAGTTCTTGGACGGGCCGACCAGATGGCTCAGTGGACTAAAGCACCTGTTTAGTCCCAGCACAGCAGCCAGGGTTCGATCCCTGGTGTGCCATGCTGGCCCTGCCCCCAGGGTGCACTGAGATGATGACTGAGACTGGGCATGGAGGCGCGTACCCGTAATGCCAGCGCTTGGGAAGCTGAACACAAGCGGATTACTACGAGTCTGATTTGTGTAGTGAGAACCTGCAGAACTTGTACTAAAATAAAAAAAAATAAAAAAAAGTAGTTCTTGGAAAAGAGGAAGTTAGCCAGGGTACTTCTATCATCATCTGTAGTATTGGGATAATCGGTTTTAATTAAATCTGTGACTCTCAGAATATAAACAGCAGAATGTTGTCTCAATCAGGCAGAATTTCTATGTATTTGGTGAAAGTGACTAATATCTACATGGGTCCACAATTCTCCAAAGTAGACATGATGGAAGCCGGGGTCCTGTATTCATTGTCAAGCATTTGGGGTGGAGAGTACCTCAATCTGTTTTGTATATTCACTTCATACACAATCTCAATATGTGGTAACCTTGGAAATACAGGTGTTGTACATTAGAGCTTATTTAAAAGGAAAATAACATGGTAGGCTTTTCTTTAAATTTAATGTATTTGGTATAGGGTCTCACTATGCAGCTTAGACTTGTAGTGACCCTCCTGTTTTCAGTCTCCCCAGTGCCAGGAATATAGGCGTGTGCTACCACAGCAGGTCTTGGTGGCTGGCTCAGCGTGTCCAGCCAGGGAGCCGGTGCAGCATGTGTTGCCTGGGATCAAACCCTGGTCCCTGTTCTTGCCTTCGCTATCATCTTTTGTTGCTATGACAATAGGAGATAGATGAGACAAAACATATGTGAGAGATACTGGCCTGATTTAGCCATTTAAGTTATGTATTATCCCTCTGCATGTTCAGATAATACTTATTTGACCCTCAATGACTGGTTTTAGCTCATAGAAATATAAAGAGATACTTTTATTTCTAGGCCATGAGAGTAAAACAAAAAGAAACAGTACATATAAAGCAAATTTTACCTTTTTGAAAAAAAAAAAAAAACAAGTGGCAAATGCACAAATTAGCATAACTCTATATCTAAATTTTCTTTATGGTTCCTGTGGTTCGATCCCCACAACTCAAGCCAGCCAAACCTGCCCTGAAGGCATTTGGAGCAAAAAAAATCTTAAATTTTCTTTAAAATTTTAAAAATCCTCAGATGATATTTGATTTATTTTGTTGATGAGGTGAAAGCTAAGTGTTTCCCTCCTTCAGAATGAGTACGGCCAAAGAAATATCAGTAGCATGGATTAATTTTTTTTCAAAAATCTGAATATTACTATAAATGTATCTAAAACCAAGAGAAAATATACATTCAATGATGAACATGATAAATCTAAATTGAAATATAATAAATTTTTAAAGGGCAGATGGCTTCAGTGTTCCAAACAAAGGATGGTTAAATATTATCTAAGGGGCTTGATATAGCCCCGTGGCATAATGTTGGCCCAGTATGTACAAGGCTCGCGGATTCTTTCTTAACATTCAAAACATATTTTAAAGATATATTACTTGGTCCACGGAGATAGCACAGTAGAGTATGCACCTACCTGGCAAGCATAGGGACCTGAGTTCAATCCCTAGTATCACAAAAAATAAATAAATATAATAAAAAGATATATTACTTGAGGATGTATTTTAGAGTAAAGAATATAGTCAAGATTAAAAAATAAAGAAAATAAAGGAATAAATGAGATTTCCATACCTAGTTATCTCCTTGTTAAGGCCTTTTCATCACATAGTTCACTGAGTATACCAGGCCTATAATCTATATTTAAATACACAGATTTTTATGGAGCTACATTGAAATGCAACAAGGGTAATCATGAAAGGACATACCACATGAAAAGAGAATCCTTATGCATAATATCTCAACTATAAAACCAAAAATAAAATTACATCATTGTGTAAATTAAAGATTTCAACCTGCAAGCAATAAAGAACGTTGTAGCTATCATTGTAAAATTTCCCATTACTCACTCAAAATATCTGACACCATTAATTTGCAGGAGAAGGGTTTTAATTTCCCTTATATTTCAGAGGTTTCAGGCCATAGTCGCCGGGATCTGAGGCAAAGCATCGTGGCAAAGGAGTACAAAGGAGATGCTTGCTTCACTGCATACCGAAGCCAGAGCAGAGAGGGAGAATCCCCACCAGAGATGCACCCTCCAGGGCAAGCCCCCAGGACACACCTCCTCAGAGCGCTCTGGCTAGGAACACTCTTGGATAAATGCACTTAGGGGTACAGCACATCCACCATCCAATTGCTTTTCCAGGAGTCGTTTAATTTTTTTAAGTTGACAAAAGAAACCAAAACAGGGCTGGGGAGACAGTGTAGTGGTCGAAATGCCTTCCCGGCAAGAGCAAGGACCTGAGTTCAATCTCTGGTACCTCATGCTGTGCTGGCCCAAACCAGGAGCGCTGGTGCATGCCTGTAATCCTGTACTGGGGAGGCTGAGACAGAAGGATCACTATGGGTTTGAGCTGCATAGCACAACCCTGTATCAAATTTTAAAAAAAAAAAAATGTATTGGACGAGCACATCCCTTGTCAACTTGACACCTAATTAATTCTCCTTAAGTCATACTTAATTTACAAATAAACACGAAAAAGTTAATAATTGTGACTAACATCATTTCTATGGCAGGAGTATAATGTTTTGCAATCATTTTTTCTCTGACGTTTTCTCCACCTGTATAAATTTGGCTGAAAGTAGCTAACAGTACTCATGATAGACTCTGAAATTTAAGAATTGCTGAAGTTTTCTTTACCCGATCAACTAGTACACCAACATCACATTCAGGTTCCCTGAAAATCACACAACGTGGGGAAAATGGAGAGAAATTTTTTTGCCATGGCATACTATGCTTTGTCACTAGTCCAGTTTCTAATAGTTTTGTTCTCAATTGAAATCTCACAATCAGCACCTTCAGCACTGTGTTTTCCTTAGCCCTGTCCAGAATCACATACCAAGTGCTGCCTACAATATTCTTAGATTTCTCTGGTATAGTTTTCCAAACTTATCCAAATTCCTCCCATAATCTCATTTCAACGGGGCTTACAGCCATTGAACCATAGTCAATTAGACTTACAGCCAAAACCTTATCTGGTACAAATTTTCTATGTTCCTCCTATCAGATTCTATATGTGTATGTATTTACACGTACGTATACATACCCATATATATCTGTACGTATACATTGTTATGTACAGACATGTTCTGAGATGGTAGTAACAAGGAAAAATACTAAAGTATACAAAATCACATAGCTATGGGTTCAAACAGTCTTTCTCTTCAAATATAAATTCATCATGGTGCGTAGTCGTGATGGGCAGTGGTTCATTCTCAGGTGCCCCGAGCACCATCCGCATGCAGCACATGCTGTTGGGTGACTCGTGGCTAGCACACATACTCATGTAATGTCACTTTCCTTGCCAGGTGCTGGATTCTAGCTCATTATACTGCAGGTTTGTATTTTATGACTAAAGTCGCAGTCCAATTAAAACAACCCTTTCCTTTGCTTTTCTCTGTTTCCTCTCTCTTCCAGATCCCAACGCTCTGGCTGGTCAGACTGGCCCAGACCACGCCCTCATAGGCGGCATAGTGGCTGTAGTTGTCTTTGTCACGTTGTGCTCTATATTTCTGCTTGGTCGATACCTGGCAAGACATAAAGGTAGGCGATGCTCTGAAACAGGAGTAGGAATTTTGGTAGCATCATGTAAAAGTATGATATGACAGGAGCGTGTATAGTTCTGTGTGGGCCTTTTTGGGGGCGAGGGGGAGAAAAATTAAGACACAGAGAGATAGAAAGGTGGGTGTGGGTATGGGAGCACTCCTAAATACTGTGTTTTTTTTTCCTGAAACTTATTGATAATGACCATGAAACATGCTATTCTAATGATTGTATTTTTAATTAAATTATATCAATAATGTAATAATTTGCTATTATAAAATATTCCCATATTGTCCCAATATGGCTGCATTTCAATAAGTCTGCAAAGGAAAATGCCGACCAAACATATGCTTCTAGGAAGATTGTAACCCTCGAAATAAATTACATATTTTCAGCTATCTTGGCTGAGATAGGTCTTCCCTGGGTGAGTTTTGGCCATTCGGGAAACGTTATTCTACTAAGCCAGTTTCATACTATGTTGCATGAAACTGATAGGGTAAAAGAGAATACCACAAAGTTTGTAATTGATCAGTAGGACTAAAGTCCCACTGTAAGTATTTGGTTGATGTCTTGTTCAAATTTATGAAAACAAAATGTAGGCACCCATAGTGATGAGGAAAGTCTGTACTTTCTTTTTACAATGGGCCACTGCCTTATTGTACTGACACAGCTTACTTTTAAGTAGTATTCCCCATATGAGTGGTGAGACCTTTGACACCACCATAAACCACATCTTAACAAAAGACGCTGGTTGCTTCAACTGAATTGCGTATGTGTTCTTTGTTATCCATTAAAGAATTCAAAATTATTACCCATTCCAATTTGGCTCTTGACTGTGGCTAACTGAGCCACAGCACCACTTGCAGTCCATCCCTGAAAACAGAAGGGAGGCTGCAAGCATAGAAGAGCGAACTGTTGCTGCCTCATAACTGAGTCTGTACACCAACTTGTAAGCCATCTGAGAGTGTACCTCCCTAAATAAAAACAGCTTTAGTGCTAGCTATTTCACTAGGCTCACAGAACTAACAGAATTTTCTTCCAATATCCACAGGAACATACTTAACAAACGAAGCTAAAGGAGCTGAGGATGCACCAGACGCTGACACAGCCATTATCAATGCTGAAGGCAGCCAAGTCAACGCTGAAGAGAAAAAAGAGTATTTTATTTAAAATCCAGGCCACATTTCTGAGTTTTACTTACCAGGCTGGCTGCTGGCGAAAACTGGCTATCATCTTTCAGAAATCATTTCCACCATCCTCTGCTACTTTACTTACCTTCCATACTATACCGTTCTCAGTGGCCAGTGCATACCAACAATCAGCTGTCAAAAGCATCATTCTTTAATTACTGTACCATCCACAGTGCAGGAAGTTCCTTCTGCTAAATTCACACCATTGCTCTTTTAACATACAGTGCTTGAATATACAGCCTTAACAATGTTAATCATCTACTTTGGTCATGACATTGAGTTGTTTTTACACATTGAAAAATGTACGCAGATGTCCCTCCCCCCACTTTATCCCGTCACGTGATAGACTTCGTTGGTTTTCCATTGGATGGCTCTCACAAGTAGCGAGATTAGGTGAAGGCCTAATGTACCTAAGTTTAACCGAAGACTAGAGGTTTACAGATAATATTTTCTACTTGTGTATCTTTAAAAAACACCATGCTCTAGAAACAGATGCCCTAGAAAATATGAACTGAAGACACTGTAGTGTAGCTTCTAGAATGTTCGACACTATACTGGCGAGGCGGAATCAATTTGCTATTTAAAATATAGCATTTGATGCAGGAGCCATGGGTATAAATTACAATCATGCCATGACATCTTATATTATTATATAATGACACCATTAGTCTATTTCAATTTCATTTACCAATAAAGTGGTCCAAACACTTAACTGTTTTGGGAATTTCAAGAAATTATTCATTTCTCTATTCGGTCCTGTAATTTATTTGCTCCATAAGAACTCATCTTCCTAAACAAAACTGAAGTATCCATAGGGCACAATTTTGAGACATTTTAGTATCTGTATATAGTGCATATAATAAATCCAATTAAACATTATTTGATACGTATTTAACTTTTTTGGCTGTAGGTAATTCAGTCATAAGTAAGCATTTTCTAACGTCCATTATATCCCTTTAGATATTACTTAAACCGATATTATAAGTAGATAACATGTGTTAGTGTTTTTGTCTGTATGTCCTAAGCACTGTTCAACAACAAACTTTTCTAGTTCTTGTTAATTTTTATTTGTTATACAATGGAAGCACAACGTTATAAGGAAAGGTAATTTTAAGCTAACAACCAGTGCACAGCCTCAGGTTTTAAATTACAACCACAGTTGAATAATAACCTAAAAATATACTCTTAGTTTGCTACAAATTTACAAATTTTAATTTGGCAGTTACAGAGCTGCTTACCTTTGTTGGTTTGCCAAAAAAATGTTTAAGATATGTTTTCTGTATAAATGAACTAATTCTTTATATTAAATTCCTGTCTATGCATTTTGTGAGGTACAAACTTATGAAACAGTGAGTGATAGAGAACTTCTCTCATGCTTTTAACTCCAAGGTGAAAGTGTCTTTCTCTGGGTTATTTTGCAATTTTGATGTATTTAACAATTATGAAATGCTGTATTCTTAAATATGACACAGAGTCGATCTAAAGTCCTATTATTTCTTCTAGTAAAAGACAATATTGCTAGATTAGTGGTCATTAAAATTATTATGTGATAAAGGATAAAATCCCAGTGAGATAAAAGTTATTTTCCCATTTGCAAGCCTTGCACCTTTAAGAGGAAAACCAATATGACAAAACAGTAGCTATGCTTGTGATGTGTGACAGCACGGCGGTGCCTAGAGGTTTACAAATAGTATCTGGAATTTATTTTTTGAGGAGCGAGAACGGCTGAATACAACACCGTGTATTAATATCAAATAAGAGACAAGGGTGCTGTATCTAAGGTTATTTATCAAAAAAGCATAAATCTTTTAAGGACAATGTTAGAATTCTTAAGTTGTTTATTTTTGATTGTTGAAGCATTTATCTTGTTGATTTCTTACAAAAGAAAAAGGACGATGTCAGTCAAGCAGCACTTTTTCAAAATATACAGAACATAAATAATATGATGTGGTTGAGTGTTAACATAATAAATCATATACAGTATGACATTTTAAGGAAATAAGTCTGCCTTGATGTGATTGCATGCTTGTTTTTACAGTTCACTCCATACCATCTGTGGAAAAATGCAATAATATGTTAATATAGTATGGTAGTTTGAGAGAATCAGGTAGGTGCTACTAGACACATTGAAACTAGAATAGGTTTATAAACTGTTCATATCTTTCAATGCATAATCGTTAGAAAGACTCCACAAAGCAAAATTCATCCTGTTAGTGCAAAATGAAAAGGTTCTTATTGCCTAAATTGTATAAACTGCATCATCAGTTACTATTTAAAGCTTAATTTCAGGATGCTCTTACAAAATTGCTACTTTTCATTGATGCTGTATTTACATCCCTCTTAATTTCATCTATATTCTACTTGGCTCCAACTGCTAAATTGTTACTTCAATAACTCAATCATTATTTATAGCACTGTAAAATTAGAAATCCAAAATTGGTTGCATGTCAAGATTTTTGACATCTTTAACCCTTCAGAGTAATATAAAATGTCATTACAACTCTTAGAACTAATAAATTTAAACTCATAGGCTTTAATGAAATATTTTCCAGTTAATTGTTGTTAATTTTAAACTAAATGTCATTTTCTGTGGCAGGAAAAATAATTAGCAATGGAGTCACATTATCCTATCTTTACAAAACATTTGGTTTCACTAAACAAGGAAATAAATTATAAAAATACTGTTCATTTCCATTCCAACAGATCAGAACGTAATGATGTAACATACCTAAATGGGACCCATGAACATTTTGAAGTCTGAAATGTGCACACTTGTGTGCTCATCGGGCCATGTTCTGTCTCTGAGAGCGGAGCAGTGTCCGCAGGACTCCATGGGAGGAGTGTGCATACACACACACACACACCCCTAGTAGAATATGGAGCAGTGTCCTTTACCAAAAGTAGCTGTTCTCTGCCAGTGTACTGTTTACAGTGTAAATTGATTGTCCTCCATCAAAAAGAAAATTTTAAACAGCATTCTTCTTTTCCTCTTTTCCATTTTTTGAGTGTTCTAGGTAGACTAATAATCTGAATTAGGAAGAAAAGGAAAAGAATGTCGTTGCAAGAGTAAAAACCGAAACTAAGAGTGTTGGTGTTTGTGTGTGTGTGTGTGTGTGTGTGCATGTAAGTGTGCATGTGTGTGTGTTTGTGTGTTTGTGTAAGAGAAGAAGAGAAAGAAGACACACACACAGAGCTTTCAACCTGTTTTCTTTTGCTAGAGAACTCCAACAAGTAGTTTAGGGGAACTGACACTAGAGTTTAATCTAGAAACTCGATGATCTCATATTAATTCGTGATTCTTAGTCTTTCATTGAAACTCCACAATTAAAATAACAATGAAAGAAAGAAATTAACTTTCTTAATCATAACAATGAAGTCATTTATTTTATTTTTTGTAAAAAATATAAATATCTCAGTTAAAAGACAGGCTCACTTGTAATTATGTGCTCATGATTGTAGCGGCACTGAGAATCACATGGGCACATGTACAGCAGCTTGACCGGGATGGCTCTTCCATGTAACATAGCAGTTATCGTGTAATTTAGTGCCACTTACTGCAAAGTGTTACCACGGGGAATACTGGAACCACTTTTTCCTTTTTTCCTTGGACATAAGGATACTTTAATGACTGACAAATATAAAATTTTACATTGCTTTTTAATTGTGGAGAAAATGCAAACTTCATAACTTAACTATGACTTTCCCATGACAGGTCAAATTACTTAGAACTTTTTAAATATGCCCAATATTATTTCTTTTTTCAAGTGGTAATCTATGATGAACACACACAAAATGACACAAATTTAACCAATAATCACAGCTGAAATTAAAGAAGAAACATCTCCTAAGAAGTACTAATGAGTAATGCTTTTGTTAAGTGGCATAAAGTACACACTAAAAACTATGCAAAATATAGGTAACTACAGTGTACGTACATGTAAGTATCTTGTACTTGCTGTGTATGGATGTTGGAAACCCATGTAATTATAATATGCATTTTGAATACTGGGAAAGAGGAAATCTTAGTGTAGATAATATAATTTGTTTTGAAATATACACTGGCAATATTGAAAAATACTCAGTGCAATATCTGCAATTCTATTGCTGGATACTTAATGCAAAGGGATTTTAAGAATTATCATACAAGATCCAAAAGGTTGATAATCTTCATCTCTCACATATTAAAGCATAAGTCCCAAAAGCACCTTATTAAACAAGTTTAAATTTTTATTTGCTTAAATATAAATGTAAGACAATGAAATTATTATTTCATTTAGTTCTCAGCATGAAAGCAGAGAAAAAAACCTGGGTTTGAACTTTGATTCTCATCTAACTGAACTTGAAATTCTTAAACTACCTTTAATAAATTTCAGTGTTTTTTATAAATATGAATTTATTCCATCAATGAACATAGGAAACATTTAATAGTTAAAGTTACTATATCTTAATGGCAAATCTGTATTTTTTTTAAATATATTTGGTACAGGGTCTCACTCTGCAGCTCAGATTCATAGTGACCCTCCTGTTTTCAGCCTCCCCAGTGCTGGGATTACAGGCGTGCACCATCATGCCTGTCTTGGTGGCTGCCTCAATGCGTCCAGGAGCGGGTCCGGTGCGGCATGTGGTGCCAGAGATCAAACTCCGGTCCCTGTGCTTGCCTAAGCAGGCTCTTAGTCCGCTGAGCTATCTAGCCGGCCTGGAAATTCTGTATCTTTTTCTTTCTTACTTTTTGTTTTCCTTTTACTCCATTTTACACCTCAAATATTCCCTTTGCACTTAACCCTTCCAAAGGCAATGGATTGAAGGTAGCAAGATAATAAAGAGAGTTAAAGGGAACAACATTATAAATATGGGTTCTATAATCATCAGCATTTTTATGTATTGAGATTATTAATATTGAATGCAATAGTTATTGGATATAGCTGGTAATATCTCTGCCATGCATACTTACAATAATCCTTCTACCTCTCACTTTTAACATGGGCTATGATACTTCAGTATAAATAGAGGAAATAACTTACAAGATATCCCAGGATGCATTACTTTGGGACTTTCATACCTGTGCACACACTACCCCTGGGAAATCTCAAAAGCCAACTACTTGTAGTATATTCTATGGTGTTTGGGTCTACGTTTGTTTTCCTTTTTGATCATTAACTTTTCCTATAGGCAAAATATGATAACGCGGTAAGGATAGTTCTTCTCATACCTATTGAACATTCCACTGTAATATAATTGTAATTTTTTAAATAATAATTTAAATGGCAACACTTTGCAACCTGATCTATTTCCTTTCATGTTTAAAATGTAGTGCTCTCTTATAAATTAATGCTGTGTTTTAAAGGAAAATTGTTCACTTGATGATTTATTTTACTGAGATGTATTATCTATGAGACAAAAATTTAAGTGTTTAAAACTGCCTCCTTATTACCAAACAGTTACAAAGTATTGCCATAAACACCTACTTTATTTTGTTTGCATAGGCATAATATAAAGTTTTCAACAATGTAATTTAATTACACTGAAAAAAATGCCATTTATAAGCATATTTTCCTCTAGGAAAAATGAAATATTAATTTCTTAAATTATGATGGTGAACTATAAAATATGCTTAAAGTTAAAGTAAGATGTTTCTATGTTATGTGGTTATAATACAAATACTATTTGGTCAAATCTTTACCT